CCTGTGACCTGCACAGCAGGTATCCATCCAGATGGCCCGAAGCAACTGAAGATCCACAAAAGAAGCGAAAATAGCCTTAACTGATGACATTCCACCCTTGTGATTTGTTCCCGCCCCACCCGAACTAATACGACATATTCTCCCCCGCCCTTGAGAAAGCACTTTGTATGCCTGTCCCAAACCTGTAAGAACTAATGATAACCCCACCGTCCTTTGCTGACTCCTTTTTCGGACTCAGCCCGCCTGCACCCAGGTGACACAAACAGCCTTGTTGCTCACACAAAGCCTGTTTGGTGGTACGAAATACGGAAGATAGTCATGACATTTACCTTATTTGGCTGGATCACCATGTATTGGCTTGTGGAAGCTTTTGCCCCTATCTTCATAACTGTTACCGGCACTCTCCAAAGCCGCCTGGAATAAATATGCCATCTAAGTAAAAGCACCGTGTTTTCCTGGCACTTGCATTGCCCCCATCCAATTCGACTGCAGCCCTTGAGCCCCCTGTGTACAGAACCCTGACTGCTGAGTCCTCAGAGCCAGGCTGAGGCTCTGCACATGTGCACTCCAGAGGCCTCACCGTCCCCGATGGACAGTTCCCTGCAGGAAATGAACCCTCGCGGTCAGAAGCACCGTTGCCCCTCAGAGTCCCTGACACTTCCCGCCAGTGGGATCGCGGCTCGGTGTTTGCAGCCTGACCTCTCACTCATGGGAGTAGAAGACCCCTTAGAAGCAGAGTGAGCGGTCGGGCGCGGGGCTCACGCCCGTAATTCCAGCACTTTGGGAAGCTGAGGGGGACGAATCCTGAGGTCAGGAGTTCGAGACCAGCCTGGCCAATATGGTGAGACCCCATCTTTAGTAAAAATACGAAAATTAGCCGGGCGTGGTGGCGGGCGCCTGTAGTCCCAGCTGCTGGGGAAGCTGAGCCAGAGGAATCGCTTGAACCCGGGAGGCGGAGGCTACAGTGAGCCCAGATCACGCCACTGCCCTCCATCCTGGGAGACAGAGCAGGATCCATCTCAAAAAAAGAAAAAAAAGTAGAGTGTGCCCATTGAGGGCTGTGTGGTGAGGGAACAGCTTTGGCCTACTACAAAAAGGTAGGACAGAGACTGCAGAATCAAACTTTTAACTGAAAACTTCAGATTTAAGCAACTTTGGAAGACTACATAAGCAAAGCATCTCCTTCCTTTACCACAGAAATGTTTTACTTGTCCCCGAGGCCTCACGTAGTCTTTTTTTTTTTACATTTGAGATATAATTCATATACCATAAAATTCAAACACCTAGTGTACAATTCTGTGGTTTTTAGTATATTCATGTAACCTGTGTATAAAGTTTCTTCCCCATAGTTATAATCATAGTATGTAAACTTTCTTTTTTTTTTTTTTTGGTGCTATTTTCTCCACTTTGCCTAATTTCATCCTCATCTTCCTTTTTTCTTTTTTTAAGAGAGCATCTCACTCTGTGGCCCGGGCTGAAGAGCAGTGATGATTTCACGGCTTACTGCAGCCTCGACCTCCTGGGCTGAGGCCATCCCCCCACCTCAGCCTCTTGAGTAGCTGGGACTATAGGCGCCTGTCACTATGCCTGGCTCATTGTTGTAGTTTTTGTAAAGACAGGGTTTCTCCCTGTTTCCCAGACTGGTCTCAAACTCCTGGGCTCAAGTCATTCACCCGCCTCGGCCTCCCAAAGCGCTGGGATTCTGGGATTACAAATGTGAGCCACTGAGCCTGGCTGTAACCTTTCTTTATTCATTAGACATTTGGGTTTTCTACCTTTCTTTCTATAATAAATTAATACTACTATTGTTATGCCCAGACCGTTTGTTCCCCAAAGAAGACCACCAGAGTCCAGAGTCAAAGCCAAGCGGCAAGGATCTTTTACTGCAAGTTCGAACTTGGTCCCTCCATTCCACAGCATACAAGAGGGCCTCGAACAATGCGAGTGCTTGCTTTTTATAGCCCGATGTAAACAGGATATGTAAAGTTACAGGGGAACAAGGGAATTCTTTTGGTTACAACATTACAATTGGTTAACATTATACATTTAGCATTTTTTATTGGTTCCTGCTGTGCCCTTATCGGAGCTTTCCCAGGTGTTGTTTTTCTAAAGTTGAGAGACATATGGAGGAATGTGTTTGTGCTGGGCTCAGGGAGTTGGGAGATATATGGAGGAATGTGTTTGTGCTGGGCTCAGGGAGTTGGGAGATATATGGAGGAATGTGCCTGGTTTCTTTCACTATAAATATTATTGTACAGATAGACCTTTATTTTGAACTAGTATTATCATTTTAGACACAAAGTCTTGTTCTGTTGCCCAGGTTGGAGGGCAGTGGTGTGATCATAGCTCACCGCAGCCTCAAACCACACTGAAGTGAGTCTCCCACGTCAGCCTACCAAGTAGCTGGGACCGTAGCTGCACGCCCCCACAGCTGGCTAATTTTTAAAAATTATTGTAGAGACAGGATCTCCCTATGTTACTCAGGCTGATCTCAAACTCCTGGGCTCAAGTGATCCTTCCACCTCTGCCTCCCAAAGTGCTGGGATTACAGGCATGAGTCACTGCACCTGGCCTTGAACTTTTAACTTAGAAATACATTCAGAGGGCCGGGTGTGGCGGCTCACGCCTGTAATCCCAGCACTTTGGGAGGCGGAGGCAGGCGGATCATGAGGTCAGGAGATCGAGACCATCCTGGCTAACGCGGTAAAACCCCATCTCTACTAAAAATACAAAAAAATTAGCGGGGCATGGTGGCGGGCACCTGTAGTCCCAGCTACTCGGGAGGCTGAGACAGGAGAATGGTGTGAACCCTGGGAGTCGGCACTTGCAGTGAGCCGAGATTGCACCACTGCACTCCGGCCTGGGCGACAGAGTGAGACTCTGTCTCAAAAAAAAAAAAAAAAAAAAAATACATTCAGAGGTTTTTGATTACTGAGTAAGAGTAATATTATTTTAAGGCTCCTGCTTTATTATTTTCCTTCAAAAAGACTGAACCCCTGTAATAAACTGGTGACACCAGTGATGTTTACATATGTCTGTATCCAGTACTTGACCAGCACTGCGTTCATTGTCATCTTTATTTATGCCAGTAGGTATAAAATGATACATTGATATAATTTTAAATTTAATTTCTTTACTAACTGGAGAGGAAGCAAGCCTTCCCACCCTGTGATTTGAAGTATCCACAAGGAGGCTTCATGTGGTAGACTCGCTCTCATCATATCAGGCTGCTAAACAATGATCTATAGTGCCTAATTTCTGTTAGATTCAAATCTAAATTGAACACATAGTTGATGCTAAATATCTACTTCATTGCTTTATGGCTTCTAAAATCTGGATATTTCCCCGACAGAGAGTAATTATCTTCGGTATTATGCATTATATATATAAAATTGTTTTGCAACAGGGTCTTGCTCTGTTGCCCAGGTGCTGGCATGCAATGGTGCTACCACAGCTCACTGAACCCCCCAACCCCTAGGCCGAAGCTATTCTCTTGCCTCAGCCTCTTAAGTAGCTGAGACTACAGGCATGTACCACCAGGACTGGCAATTTTCTTAATTTTTATCTTTTGTAGAGACATCTCACTATATTGTCCAGGCTGGTCTCTAACTCTGGGTGCAAGTGATTCTCCTGCCTTGGCCTCCCAAACTGCTGGGATTACAGGCATGAGCCGCCACGCCCAGCCCAGTTTATGCATTTTGGACTCTCAGCTCCAAATTCCCCCTTTTGGACTACTCTGTGAAATGAATCTGGACCTTTAACTATTTTTTCCTGGGCTAGCTAGCACTGAAATCTTGCCAGTAGAGGGTGTTAGACACTGGAGAAGGGAAAGAGGTTGACTTGCCTCTGGGTTCCAGGGTGCTCACTGGGTGGTTCCTCCAGTGCCCAGCTCCTACAGTGACTGCAGCCAGCAGCACCCAGGAGACTGAACCTCCCCGCCCAGCCCGGCGCCCGCCAGCCCTGGCACCGTTTTATAGCAGCATACCTCTAGCAGTCAAGACACCTGGCACCTCAGAGGGCAGACTTCCAGAAGGATTTGCCACAGGGCACCACAACAACTTCTCTGCCATTCAGAGTCACAGCTGCACAGGTCTGGATCTCCGCCTGGGGCGCGGGTGGAGGCTCTCTCAGTCCTGGGGCTGGTTCACTAGAGTCTCCTTTCTTCGTTACTAGCCAACCCCTCATTGCTGTAATCCCTCGCTATGTAAATAATTCTTTATATTGAATTTTCTCTGTTCAAATTACTATGTGATTTCTCTCTCCGGATTGGACTCAGACTGATACAAGTGTGGACCCCCTAGAAGGAACAACAAATGTAGCTGCCATCTGTATACACACGTGAGACGGAATTCGTGTTTTACAGCCTTTCCAACACCTGGCTATCTCAGAGGGCGGAGGACTTGAGTGAGCAGGGCACGGCCCTTCCCCAGTCCCCTCGCATGACTGCTGTGGGCTGCTGGCTCCCACCTCAGGACTCCAGTCCCACCTCACACGTGGCAGCTGGCCCAGGCACGGGCACCTGTTCCCAGCTGAGGCAATCAGAACCCACCTGGGATTTTTTTCATCCTCGAAGCCAATTTCTCTCCTTTAAACTAAAGCGGAAAGAGCGTGAGGATGTGACTTCAGAGCTGCCTGCTCCATCCCTTGCCAAGGGGGAGCCCCAGAGTCTGATGGGGCTGGGCACCGTGGCTCATGCCTGTACTCCTAGCACTTTGGGAGGCTGAGGCAGGCAGATTGTTTGAGCCCAGGTGTTTGGGACCACCCTGGGCAACATGGTGGAGTCCTAGCTCTACAAAATACGTGAAAAATTAGCCAAGCATGGTAGTGCGTGCCTGTAGTCCCAGTAGTCCCAGCTACTCAGGAGGGTGAGGTGGACCAATGGCTTGAGCCCAAGAGGCGGAGGTTGCAGTGAGCATGGCACAGCACTCCAGCCTGGGCGACAGAGCAAGAGTGTGATGGACTCAAAGATGAGAGATGGCGAAACAGAGAGAGATGGATTCGGTCCAGCTGTCCCCAGCGGGATGGTGCCACTGTGCCAGGTTGAAGTATTGTATTTTGCAAAAAGTGCTGAAATAACAGGAGTTCGTTCAGAGACCATTTCTGTGCTGCAAGAAATAAAAGCACTGCAGCCGTGGAAGGAGATAGAAACTTGACATCCTGGATTGGCTGATGGAGAAATCAGATACTATTTGCTGTTCATCAAGAATATGACAAGCTTGGAGATCAGCTCCTCCGCTTCAACCAGGAGACGAAATTGCTGTTATTCCCCATTAGTGGAGGATAGTGCTTTTGAGTCATCTAGGAAAGACATGGATGAAGTTGAAGAGAAATCTAAAGAGGTTATAAACGTTACTACCGAGAAACTTCCAGTAGATGAAGTCCCACAGTTGGTGATTTCTCCGCTCTTTGGTGCAGTACCCCTATTTGTAGGGACTACAAGAAATAACTTTGAAGGGAAAAAAGTCATTAGCTTAGAATATGAAGCATATCTACCCATGGTGGAAAATGAAGTCAAAAAGATTTGTAGTGACATCAGGCAGAAATGGCCAGTCAAACACATAGCAGTGTTCCATGGACTTGGCCTGGTTCCAGGGTCAGAAGCAAGCATAATCAGTGCTGTGTCCTCAGCCCACAGAGCTGCATCTCTTGAAGCTGTGAGCTATGCCATTGATACTTTAAAAGCCAAGGTGCCCATATGGAAAAAGGAAATATACGAAGAGTCATCATCTTGGAAAGGAAACATAGAGTGCTTTGGGGCATCCAACAATGAACCACTTAGTTTTTAGAGCCTGCAATCTTAACTTTGTTCAACCATTATCATTGATCACATTTTGATTTTTTTCTCTCCACATGAGGATAGTTTACTGAAGCGCAATCTCTTACGTTATACTAATGGGACAAAAGGGAGAAAAAGGAAGCAAGATAAATGGGTATGTAGGATGAAGGGTTATTTAAAATGGAACTAAAGATAGAAGGAGGACTGCAGGAAAGAGATGGAATAATTTAAACGTGAGGAAAGATGTCCGTGGTAGACATGTCCTTCCATGACTAATTTCTAATTATAACTCAAACTCACATTGAAGTATGGGCCCTCAGTGACTTTAACTGACTCAGAAAGATACTCCGCCAGCAACCCCACCTCACCACCCCCGTCCCAGTTCAGGGATAGCATTGTTATCAAGGATGCATGACAGCAATGTTGGCGGAACTGGAAAGTATTAAAAAATCATTGTCAGACCGTCTTGATATTATATATTTTCAGAAATATATTAAAAATAGTAAACTAAAACCCATGATTTCAAAAGTTAAAAAAAAAAAAAACAGAGAGAAACTCCTAATGTCATCTCCCACCCTTTTATTGAGACAGGGTCTGCCTTTGTCACCCAGGCTGGAGTGCAGTGGCACAATCACAGCTCACTGCAGCCTCGACCTCCTGGGCCAAGTGATCCTCCTGCCTCAGCCTCCCAAGTAGCTGGGACTACAGGCAAATGCCACCATGCCCAGCTAATTTTAAAAATTTTTTAGAGATGGGTCTCACTCTGTCACTCAGACTGGAGTGTCGTGGTGTGATCATAGTTTACTGCAACCTCAACTTCCTGGACTCAAGTGATCCTCCCACCTCAGCCTCCTGAGTAGCTGGGACTATAGGTGTGAGCCACGGCACCTGGCTTATTTTTTAATTTTTGGTGGAGAAGGAGTCTCCCTTTGTTACCCAGGCTGGTGTCCAACTCCTGAGCTCAAGTGATCCTCCTGCCTCAGCCTCCCAAAGTGCTGGGATTACAGGGATGAGCCACCACGCCCAGCCCAAGGCCATCTTTGGGTTTCCAAATATTTTAAGGCCAGTTTCGGTTGTTCCACCTACATTGTGGGAAAAAATAAATAAATAAAATGAAAAAATAAATTTTAAAATTAGAATTAAATAAAAAATTTAAAAAGTAAAAAAAAGGTATTCAATATCACTTTGATAATTTACTCTATAATGAATCTTTTTTTTTCTCACCTAACCTAGGTCGATTTAGGTCTCCGTCTCTGGTAACTGAAAAGAGACCCAACGAAACGTCTTACAGAGCACCAGGGCCAAATCTTGATGCGGCGTTAGATTCTGTGTAGCCAGAAAACGGAAACAGAAACATATCCAAGCCGGGCGGAGGAAGAACTTTGGGGCCTGTTTATCCAGGTTCAAGACAGTTTCTATTTAAAAAAAAAAAAAAAACAGAAAAGAAAAAGAAAAAGAAAAAAAAGTTCGTAACAGAATAAGTTCAGATTCTCCTGTGACTGTCAGAGCTAAGATCTGACGCCTCTGCTGGTTTCCATGACAACCACCAGCAGCTAGAATCGTGCCGAACCCAGAACCAGAGGATTCGGTGACTTTACCTTGATTCTGTGGCCGGATTATTGCCGATTTTAAAAGGAAATGCATAGCGAGCCCCTGTCTCTGTTGTGTCTTCAGCTGTCCTTTGAAACGTGGATGTCTTGACAAGAGGCCAGGGCAGGGCTCCTCTCTCGTCTCCCCGCGCTGGTGGCCTTCCCAGATGAATTTCTTCTGGTGCCGGTGAGATGACTTGGTGACCTAGTTCCAGCTGCACAAGTTATGCTGTCGTGATTGCTGGAGGTGATTGCTCAAAATAGCTCTTTGATTTGTTTCAAAAACAGGCTCTGTGGCAGGTTCACGTCATTTTGTCCCCAAAGAAGGGATTCCAGAGACCAGGACTTCACGGAAAGCTTGCTCCTCTACCTCTGGCTGCGGGTTTCAGGGCTGGGACGGGGGACCAGAGAATCTGTCTCTCTGTCTCTCGGGAATGCCAAGTCGAGATCCAAGACTGGCTAGGGACCCTTGCATTCCCCTTGCCAAGCTGTAGCCCCCCCCTGGAAACAGATCTTCCAGGAGTGTCGCACTGAGTGATGACACCTTTGCCTGAGGCTCTGCAGTGCTTGGACACGGAACTGCACTGCAGCCTTCCAGATGCTCAGCTGGAAAACCCCCGAGAACCTGAGGCTTTTCTACAGCACATTAGAGCTTATGACTGGAGAGTGTCTACCGCCTAAGGGCAGGGATGAGGTTTTTACCCACCCTATTCACCTGTTTAGGTGCCCACTTCATCCTAGACTCCCTTCTTTTCCCTCCCTCCCTCCCTCCCTCCCTCCCTCCCT